AAAACAGACAAATAAAAAATATTACTAATTTTAAGTTTTTAGATAATGTGTTCAAAATGACCCAGAATATGTATGCATGCTTGAAAGTGGTCATTGAAAGAGAAGCTTACATTACGAAGCAGTAAATTATACAAATAATACAAATTTTATTTAAAATATTGATGTCGCACATGTAACACACTTAAAATCACCGGTTGCTATAAGCTTTTGTTTTTGTTGCTATTGTTTTTTAGAGAACGGTTTATTTTACAGAAAAAGTGCTAATCAACATTTTTGTACAACATTATCCCAGCTACAAGAATACAGATTCTTGGTAAATCGTTTTTTCCGCCTCCCCCCACGAGGGGTGGTTTTACGGGAAAATTTCGGGGGTAGGAGTCTTAAATTTTTTGCATGTTTTTTGGGGTTCAAAATTGACATTTTCAGCAAAATTGTTTTGGTTTCGAACCAGCAAGTTGATTTATGAACCCTTATGACAGTACGGGCGCTCGGGCTGTGGCGTGTATAAAAGAGAGGAATAACGATTTATGGTACAAATTTTACAAAGTCAAAAGAATAATATTTTTTACTTGTGTTTTTGAGCCTTGAAAATCGTAATTTTGCGTTTTTTTTCAGTTTTAAATTATTGATAACTCAAAAACTAACAACTTTATAGACAACTTAAAACAGACTTGTTTTGTATCAGAGCTTTTCGCCTTGTCTAATTGAGGATGGTGGTAATTTACGTCTTCTTTTAACTTTCTTTGCAATACATGCCTTTCGTTGTTTTTTGTGTCTTTGTTCGAATTAGGTGCTACAGATTCTGTCAGATATATAATTTGAAAGTCCAATAACAAAAAATGAATTATAATTTTGTATCATTATTTGTTTATTTCTAGCAAAAGTTTCTCTTTTTTCATTTAAATTCAATGCTGTACTTCACTGGAGTCCACCCTTTGTCTGCACATTTATTTCAGAAATAGTTTTCCAATCAAAATTTAATATACTCGTATATTTTATAACCATTGGAACTATTTCAGTCAACACGTGCTATCTTTGGTTTATTTAAATCTCACTGAAGTCTACCCTTTGTCTGCATTTATGTATTTTATAAATAGTTTTCCAATCAAAATTTAATATACTCTTATATTTTATAACCATTGGAACTATTTCGGCCAACACGTGATCCTTCTATAAATAATCTCTCTTTTGTGTATCTAAATTCAATAGCGTGTCTTACTGGAGTCCAGCTGTTGTCTGCACAGGTCTTACAAAAATGATATTTCCGTTGTTTCCAATCAGAATTTAATGTACTCATATATTTTATTATAACCATTGAACTATTTCGGTCAACAATGATCCTTCTATAAATAATCTCAGAATCTCAATTTTATTTCTTATCTCGGTTTATTTCTAATTTTATGAGCTCGCTTTCAATTATTTTCATACATTGTGAGGCGGTAATATTTTTACCTGTTAATTTCTCTATTAGAAATTTTTTTTAGGTTACTGTCTTCATGTTTTTGTTTGTTTTTTTAACACAGACCAAACCAATAATTACTTTCTCTAAAATTTTTTCTAAAGCTTCTATTGAAATACCAGTTAAAGTCAATGAGAATTTGTCTTCTTGGGTACTTTATACTTCCAATAAACTTCATCTTTCCATATTTATCCATGTAAACTGTTAAAGCATCTCCATCTAAATCAAATTATCCACACTTTTGTTGCATTTAAGTACCATTTTTTGTCAGTATTATTTACTTTTTGAAACTTATTTTTTCAGTGAATGAAATATTTTGTAGTTCATTTGGGATTATGAAAATCTTCTTTGTCGCTTTCTCAATACCTTTACCATAAAGTTGAGACTTAGTTTCACCCTTTTTAATGATAATAATGTAGTTATAAAAATGTTTTGAAAAATGTAAAAAGGAGAGGCACTTAAAGAAGAAGAAGGGAGTTATGGGAGTTATGGGAACTTCATGAGAAAGGATCAGGAGCATGTTAAATTGATCTATGATCTATAGTGTAAGACTGATATTCAGAAATGGAATAAAATACATGTGTTACTTAGAATGTTGCAGTAGATATTACTCAAATAGTGTCAGTTTTATAATTGATAGATTCAGGAGTTGTGAGTTCTTCAGAGTTGTTCTCAAGGAAGAATCGGTTTTTGCATTTGTCAACTTGTTCTAAGATTTTTGAATTATTAAAGTAAAATTTATGGCCTGTCTTTAACTGGCACTCCACTAAGGCACGAGATTTTTTTCTTATGTTGCAGTCACTTTTGTGATGCGTGGGACGTTACTTAAACCACTATTGACTTTGACAAATATAACAATTAGTCAAGATCAATTGGCTAAATTGGTAGAAAATGGTAAAAAAACTGTCCTATGGGTCTATAAGCTCGCAATAAGCCCTATCTTAGCAACAATTATCTTAGTCCATTTAATATGACCTTGGAACCTCAAAATTGCCGTTTTTTACTAGCATTTATTTATAAATCAAAAGTTTTATACATTTATAAAGTGTATCGTTTAAGCATATACAGACAGTACAAACAATCTTTAATTCACTTCACCAAAATATTCAATTCATTGTCGAGTACGAAAATGAAAATAGTATACCGTTTTCAGACTCCAATGTCATAAGGACAAATAACAACCAAATTGTATTAGATTGGTATCAAAAAGATCTGACAGATTTTTGAAATATTATTCTAATCATCCTAAGATTAAAAAAATTAACATTATATCCATGAAGCATCGAGTGACGTCAATCTGTGATCAGATTCTCCTAGATGTCTATCTGAAGAAACTTCTTGAAGTGCTTTTAGGCAATGGCTACCCAAACACACATATTCAAAATCTCATATAACACAAATTTTTCGTTTTCAACAACAAAAGCTAAAACTGCCAACTCATTAATGGGCAAAATCATTTACCGAATAAACTGCAAAGAATGGCAAAGTTTTTATATTGGTCAAAGTCAACACTGGCTAAGCAACGTGTTAATCAACACAAAAGTAACTGCAACATAAAAAGAACTCTTGTGCGTTAGTGGGCCACCACTAAGAGGCAGGATAGAAATTGTAAATATGTGAATATATAATAAAAATTAATAAACGTGCTGTTATCCTCATTTGGTAGTAGGATTAGCAGATTAATACCATAAAAATGGAAGCTATTATTCATTTTTTGAAATTATGCTTAAAACCACCATTCATTCACAACAAATTCTAAGATGGATGTTGTTTTCAAGGCAATTTGCTCTTCATCGCATAAAGATGGTATGCGATATAACGGTATTAATAAAATATTTTAATTTGGAATTTCCATCTCTTCCCTAATCCGCATTTGCTAACTGTCTGGTTTTTCTCCTTGTCGAGAAAACCTAATTTGTATCATAGTAAATGATTCTAGAATGATAATGTCTAAAAAGTTCCTTTTAAATTATTAAAAAAGGAAAATATTTAGGGTTTTGTATTGAGCTTCCACTGCACTAGTCCATCTGGGGTTTAGATTGACATTTCTCCTAAAAGAAAGGCATATATGGTACGTTGTTACTTCATTGCAAATTTCAACGTGCTTACAATTGAGGTAGGTCGCGGTTGTGACTACTAAAGGGAAGCAGCATGTCGCTTTTAAATATGTGGCTTACAAGACGGGTTACAATAAATAATGTTATTTACTCTTTTTTGCTATTTCTCACTTATTTATTTATGAATCTTTTTACCAAGATCGCCTTTCGGCATTGACTTAATTTAAATTCAAACGCATGTAAAACCATTAAATGTAAATGGTTTATTAAGATTTTGGTTTCCTTTCGACAGAAGGGAATTATTGATGTTCCTTATGGAACCGTGAAACAATCAAAACAGGCTAAAAGATATCAGAAAATCAGATTTGATTTATGCAAGGCAGATGGAATTCCTCGAGAGTTTCTTTGGAAAGCGCTAAACAAGAGAGTGTCAATTGTGAGCATGTGAGGATTGTGAGAGATATGTATGAGGGAGTAACAGCTAGTGTTAAGACAGATGCGAGAGAAACTAATAAATGTCGATCAGTTAAGAGAGGATATCTTTACAGATAAAACAAGAACACAATATGGAAACCTGATACGAGTAGATGTATTCCTTTATAACGATGGTCATGAGTTTGTTTCGCAGCATGTAATCTTGCACACAATCTTAATTCGGGGCGGCATTAGTTGGAAGAGTCTATTGATGTAAAGTTAAGACGGAATTCTAATTATTACATCGTAATATCCTTGAAGAACATGTTTTTCCCCATGCCCGCTTTATTGACTGCGATAATTTTTTGCTAATGCATGTTAATGCATGAGTTCACGCAGCAAGATCAGTGATCCAATACCTTGACGATGTTGAGATTGCAGCGCTTGAGTGGCTAACAAATAGTCCTGCAGCAAATCTTATGGAACATATATAGGACAAGCTGAAAAGAAATGTACGAGCACGAATTCCAGCTCCTAATTCAATGACACAATTTCGACTGCTGCATAGAAGGAATGTAAGGGCGAGCGCCCACCAAAGTGGCGTGGCAGAGGCAAGTAGCAAGTAGCACGCGTCTAGCATAATGTAACCAATCCTAACGAATGATTAGAATGAATGACGTTACTGTCATTTTGGTGTAAACTGAATCATTCGTTTTCATTGGTTACATTATGCTAGACGCGTGCTACTTGCTACTTGCCTCTGCCACGCCACTTTGGTGGGCGCTCGCCCTTAAACATACCGCGAGACTACATAAAATATCGTTGTTTTTAAAATTAATTATTATTGTTTAATTTTCAAATTGAATGTTTAAAAAAAAGTAATTGTAAGAATTCCTTCAAGAATCATTAAAATCACGATGGTATAGCTCAATTAATAAAAAATTATGAATTTTTTGTTTTGTTTAAATTTATATTTGTTAATAATCTAATTCCTTCAGAATAACAGTTTTTTGGTTTTTAATGTGAATATAATGGTCCCTTTTGTTTCTAACCTTTTTCTTTTGTTTCAGATGGGTTTGCGAAGATCTTCCTGAATTAAAACTGCCATTAGAGAACAACATTCTTTGCAACTATGACACTCAGAGCTATGAGAGTATGAAATCATTATGTGATAAGTTCAACAGAGCCATTGACAGTGTTGTTGCTTTGGTGAGTTTTTATTCCTCCTGGAGATTAGTTCAGTTTGTTCAAATAAAATGTGAGCAGACTTAGTAATTACGTATTTTTCAAACGTGAATAATGACTTAAATGTTCACGTTTCCAATTGTGTTGAAGTTTCGGTTGCAGATGCAGTGACACTATCGTATTATTTCTCGAAATATACCAGAATTAGATACATCTTAATACGAAATAAGTGTATTAAAAGTGAATGGCTATTATTATAACACAGCTGAGGATATTTTCATGTTCGTCAACGAAGTAACCGCATTTAAATATAACATGATGCCAGTAGATGTTTTGAATACAAGATATTTTTCTAGTAGATTTTATCAATTATTGCTAAGAATTAAATGCTCTTTTTAAATTCATTATTACGAAATCAACTAAGAGATCTGTAGAGAATTTGTTGCTTTTGAGTATAAATACGATTTAAAATAATATTACAGCTGTAAGTATAATAGTTTAATGTGCATAGACCAGAGAAATTAGCCAATAAAAAGCCTTTTCCGCGAAACTCTTTGGTACAAGTATCTAACAAATGCTTTTGATACATTTGTTGATTAAAATATATAATAAACACAATATGCAAAAGATTAAACGTCATTTTTTACTTATAAACAATGTTTAAACAATGTAAGATCGCTATTTGATTTTAAATACTAAATTATATGGAAAAGTGACACAATTTTTGACAGGGACAACCAAACTGCTGAACTGCAAAGAAGAATCACTTTAGCATGTGCTGCATATGGAGCTCTTTCAGATTTCATCATATTCATCATCATCATCATCATCATCCAGCCCTTTGCGTCAACTGCTGGACATAGCCCTCCCTCATTTTTGTCCGTTGTGCTCTATCTTGAGCATTTTTCATCCAATTTCTTTACATTTTCTTAAGATCGTCAGCCCAACGATTGGTCTCCCTCCACTTTCTTTTGTCTAACCTCGGCCTCACTGGCACACACTAACTGAAGTTCATGTAGCATTGTACATCTCCTTGAGGTTGTCCGAGAATAAAAACTATGTCGTCTGCGAATTTAAAATTTTTTAATCTTCTACCGTCAATGTTTAGGCCTTTCTCTTCCCAGTTAAGTTGTTTACAAGCATATTCTAGTACTGCGGTAAACAGTTTAGCCGATAAGGTATCACCCTGTCGGACTCCTCTGCCGATTGGGATATGATCCGTTTTTGCATGTAGTTTCACCGACATAGTTGCGTTCTTGTACGTATTGTAAATTAACCTTGTATATCGGTGGTCAATGCGGCATGCTTGTAGTGCTTCCAGGATTTTGTCAAATTCTGCCGTGTCAAAGGCTTTATGGATATCTACAAAAGCCAGAAAGAGTGTTCGATTTTATTCGATAGTCTTTTCTATTACCGTTTTAATGCTCTGTAGGTGATCTTTTGTTCCAAATTCGCTACGAAATCCCGCTTGATCTATTGGCTGGTAGAAATCTCGTTTTTTCTCAAGACAATTCGTTACTCTTTTTGTAAGGAGTTTGTCTAGATGATTAAGAAGACTTATAGGTCTGTAGTTTTCTAATTCATGGGGATCTCCTTTTTTGTACAATAGAATTACCTCAGCATTGTGCCATTTGTCGACATGTTAAAAAGGTTTTTTTATTTTCTCAAGCAGGCAAGTGCCTCCGATTTTGATTGCATCTGTAACTACACAACTTTCAGATTTAACTCAACTCAATTTATCTAACGACTGCATTAAAAAAAAACAAGCTTCTGTATTCCGTAAAAACACGAGATATTGCAAATTTTTTCAACACTTACCAATTTGAAATTCCATTAAAAAACCTGAGCTCGGATAGGCGGTATTTTACGAGTACCATCACTTTAACGGGTTATATCTTTTTGCTCCTTCTTGGTAGATGCCATCTATAAAATAGATCATAAAATTTAGATCTTTTTTTATAATCTGTCCAATTTTCAGCTCTTAGTTTTAATAAACAATGTAAATGTGATTTTAAGAAAAAAAATTGCCATCTTTTTTTTTAAGATTAAGTTTTTTTACCATCTTTTCAGTGATCCTACTTATACGCGCGTGAGATAAAAAATATCAAATTGATTAGGACACTTTAAAGTAGAGGAACAAAGCGGGCTTTGGCCGAGGTCACGTCTGTGCATAAACGGCTCGTCCGATCGTGACGTACGATAGCTCGTTGAAAAGGGGAGGGGCCAACGAATACGTAGGCATGGAAAAAAACATGGCGGTGCATTGTTAAAAGGACTTTTAGCTTGTAGTGCCTAAACGGCTCGTCCGATCGTGACGTACGACAGCTTGTTGAAAAGGGAAGGGGCCAACGAATACAATGACACACAAAAAACTTGGTGACGCAGTGCCAAAAGGACGTTAAGCTTGTAGTGCTTAAGCGGCTTGTTCGATCATGACATACGACTGCTCGTTGAAAAGGGGAGGGGATTATGAATACGTTAAGACAAAAAACAGATGGCGGCATTGCCAAAACGACATTACAGCACATCTTTGTGTCTATTGGTTCGATTGTGACATACGAGGTGTCAAAAGGGGAAGCGGTGATGACACAGGAGCCAACTGTCAATTCTTCTTCTGTCAACGTTCAATATTAACTGTCATTTTTCATCTTTTTCGTCTGTCAAATCTTGTGTTAACGACTGCGTGACAAGGTCAACTGCCACTTGTTCTTTGCAGACGGTAACTATCAATTCTTCTTCTTTTTCCATAGTGTCTTACAGAACATGAAATGTCACGTGAAATGACACGAATGACGTGACATTCGACGCAAGACGTGACAATTATGTGACAGTCGACACAGGACGTTACATTCGACGCAGGACGTGCCATTTGACGTGAAATGTCACTTGAAATGCCGTGAATGACGTGACCTTCGACGCAAGACGTGACATTTTCAACGAGCTGTCGTATGTCACGATCGGACGAACCGTTTAGTTATGTTTTTTCTGTGCCTACGTATTCGTTGGCCCCTTGCCTTTTATTACTGCAATAATAAGGGTTTTTTTGCAATTATCTTGGTCAACTATTAATGTTAATTTTTATTTTAACAATTTTTCTGTAAAATATATAAGAAACGTTTTATAGACAAAAAATGTTTTTTTTACTTTTTTTATAATTGTTAAAAAAAAATCCAAACATAATTAGCTGTACCTACGTCTTCAAGAATTTGTTATCAGATATATCTCATATAACTTTTAGAACCCTCAAAAACCTGTAAGATTTTTTCAGCTGCTTTTTTTTCTTTACTGGCCTACACGCGTCTGAAATTTTAGCTTAATTCTGAAGCCTCCTCAAAATTTTTGTTTTCAAAAGTTTCCCAAATCTCCAAAGTTATACTTTATGTTATTATTGGATCAGTAAACGTTCTGATCTTTCTTGGTATTCACACTTTTTGTTTCATTTATGACAATATATTGACTCTAGGACACTTCTAGGTCTGTTCTCGTACTAAGTTTTACATGATTTTATCAAATAAAACTATTTATCCTTTTCCGGAACATTTTGCACAACCGATCATCATTCTTTCCCTCCACATCAAGCGTCTAGAGTCGGGTACCAGAGAAGTACCAGAATATCTACTTCATTTTGTTCCGTAAGTAAGTAAGTACTCTATAGCTTCTTCGCTAGTTCTAAAAATTTCTTTTATTACGACTACATGCTTTAAAATAAAAAACATAGAAACATAAAAAAAATAGAGATGTGGTCCCTTATTGTCTCAGCGTGATCATAAATAAGACATTAAGTTATGTCTTATACAATTTTTTTTTGTAGTAATTGACACAACTTTACTGAAAGCTAACACCATTCTATTGACTTACAAAGTAGAGAAGATAGTGTAAATACCTTTATGAACCTAAAATATAATGCTTCTACAAATATAATGCTTTCGGCATGAAACGGACCAGATTCTTTCACCCGTTGGCAACCAGATTAGAAAAAAGCAGATCTAAAAACTCTTATACACACTTATAAGACGTATATTTGACCAGCTTAATGTACGGACTTGTAACTCCTTAACGAAAATTGTTTTAGGAAGGCGATCAAGTGTATTAAAAATATCTGAGTTCTCTGTATATTTTGTAGCATTTGCCACTTCATCTGCAATCCACATTTGCTGCGTCTAAGACGTTTTTAAATGACTTCCATACAATAATTAGAATGTTAAATCGCGCTGTCAGTATTATCACATGATCCAAGCATCTATAGATTGCATGATCTGTTTAGTTCTTTTAGGATTGATACACATATTCGATTCTATCCAAGATCCTACTAACATTCCTGTGCAAACTGGCATCATAAAGGCTCTTATGACTTTAATTTTGGTTTTGTGTGTTTAGGTAATATCGTCGAAAGATTTGGTCATCTCACATATTGTAGGTACTATATACAGAGTGTTTTAGGGGTATGGAATATTGAAATAAAATATAGGTGAACACAGGTTTATTTAATATCCATGAACTTTGCATTATTTGAAAGATAAAAGCATCTCAACAAAGGCGTAAGAATTACATTCACTTATAAAGCATCACTATCTATAAGTCCTAAGAAAACAGAGATGGTCCTCTTACCAGGAAAAACAGAATCACGGGCTTAATACCACCAAGGATTCTAAACTACAATCTAAATTTTTCTGACGGGGTTAAGTACCTTGGTATTACCCTTGACAGGAAGTTAACATGGACCTCACACTTAGACGGTAGAGCTAAAAGAGCATGTATTGCCTATGAGCAGTGTCGACGAACAGTTGGACGCGAAAAGTGATCGCCTGGGTCTACACTGCTGTCATTAGGTCAATGCTAACTTACGGAGCAATTGCTTGGGAACCAAAAGTGCTACAAGCAACAGCCATAAACAAACTAAACCATATTCAGCGGATGGCTTTCATAAATATAACAGGTGCCATGAAAACAATACCAACTGCTGCAATGGAGTTGATCATTGGTATCACGCCTCTAGATATATATGTAAAAGAGGTGGCGCTTTGTACTGTATTGGGTAAAGTAGGTATAGTACACGATGTTTTTATAAATGGACTACCTAAGCTATGGCGTCATAGTGGGAGTTTTAAAAACCTTTCCAAACATTTCTAATTTGTGTGTGTCCCATAAGAAGTTGCAAATATTAGTTTTTTTAAATTGTTTAAAGAAGGACTTTTGGTTATGAACATTCGTATCTTAATAACCAAACTTGTTCATATTTTAAGGTTATGTTATGGTTTGATTCAAACTGTTTATTTTATGAATAAAATACTTTAATAATTAGTTTGATTCAGCTATTGTGATAGACTTAGACCCCCAATTAGTCAGACTTAGGTAGTCCATAAATATGCAAAGTTTGCTGTACAGCTGTCAAAATGGCTGTCATTGAAAGTAGTGTTGCCACCTAAAACTTCTATACCTCTATAAATACAGATTATATAAAAAAAAACTAAGATAAATAATCTATTATTTTTGATGTTCTGTATGTTGTATTACAATTTATTAATACAGTTTTTAACTGTCACTGCATATAGATGTCTTCAGAGTTAAGTATTCTTTAAAATTGTCCTAGCAAACTTAATACAGGTATGCCCTTTTTCCTAGGAGAAAGGAACATCATTATCGGCTCATCGGACGTCAAACTATCCATCCAGAGGTCTTCTGAGACATATCTTACAGCAAACATACAACACTGCAGTAACGGATCCAGATAAGTTGAACCAGTACGAACCATTTTCGCCGGAAGTATACGGCGAAACTTCCTATGATCTAGTATGTCAGATGATAGATCAGATCGAAATAAGTTCTGATGATGTATTTATTGATCTCGGCTCCGGAGTTGGACAGGTCGTCCTTCAGATGGCAGCAGCTACACCTTGCAAAATATGTCTTGGAATTGAACGTGCAGAAGTGCCCAGTCGGTATGCAGAGAGTATGAACAGAAATTTTCGCACTTGGATGCAGTGGTACGGAAAAAAGTACGGAGAATACAAACTTCTGAAAGGAGACTTTCTAACAGAAGAACATAGAGAGAAAATTAACCAAGCTACTATTGTGTTCGTTAACAACTTTGCTTTTGGACCAGCAGTCGACCACCAATTAAAGGAAAGATTTGCTGATTTAAAAGACGGAGCAAAGATAGTTTCTTCAAAAAGTTTCTGTCCATTAAATTTTAGAATTACCGACCGAAACCTTAGTGATATTGGTACTATTATGCACGTATCCGAAATGTCGCCGCTAAGAGGATCAGTCTCATGGACGGGGAAGCCTGTTTCCTATTATCTACACCTCATTGATCGCACCAAGTTGGAAAGGTATTTCCAGAGACTAAAGAAGCCTCAATTAAAGGTTAGTAAAGTAAATATTTTGTTCTTTCTAGTTTGTACTTAGTATAGTTATCATAATATCAAAATTTATTTGGATTGTAAGAATATATATTTCATACATTAGTTTTCTGGAATGTTTTGCTTTCTTCTTAAACTGATCATACCTATATATATATATATATTCAATGGTTGAATTGCAGAGGTTTGATCGGTCAATAATTGGCAAATGAAAGTCGTCAACCACGTCATTGATTTACTTGAATACGTTGTAACTTGAGTAGGTTTCGTAATTGGTAACATGGTGGTAACACGCCATGTTACCAATTCCAACGGTAACTTAAACATCCTAATTTGTAACTATATATAATGTAAAACAACTGTAAATTTATAACATTTGAAGGGTTTTGACCCATATATTTGGGTGGCTCATAGCATGTATACCCCGTTTACACTGATGATGGATTTAACAATCCGAAAACGTTCTGTAATGTAATTGTGATAGCCCGTTTGGGCATTTTATTATACAGGGTGGTGAATCGTCAAACTGGCCATAGGAAACTCAATGAGAAATTCGAAATTGTTGAATTCCTGCTTCCCTAATTATTTTACACCAAAAGTCATGGGAAACTATTTGTAGATGACTCAAATATGTATCGAAAACAATTGTTAAAATTGTTCTACGACTTAAACGTATTCCAAAATTTTGCTAAAATATAATCCATTTTTCAGGCCACCCCTAAAAGTCAGGCCAGACGCCTTGAAAAGAATGTGTATTACGTGTTGCGTTTTGTCATATTAACGTTTCAAATATTTGACAATATTTAAATCAACTATATTATATTTATCTATGATTTAAATGGCCAAAATTTTGTGATTTATTATTTAAAAGAAAAATTAACTTGATTAAAAAATGTACTCAGTTAAGGAGAAAAGAGCAATAATAAAAATGTTTTATTCATGTTTTATTATAATATTTGTTATAGTTTTATGTTTAGAAATTATCGTATATTATTATTAGGAATAAAGATAACTTAACATTGAATTGTTGTATAACTTAACATGGAATTAAATTTTAGTGTATTAGAATATCTTACGTTAAATAAAGATCCGGTAGTGACAGGAAAAGATTCACGCTATTGCCTGAATACAACATTATGGGATTTTTCGTCAACTGAGTACATTTCATTATATTGATTTGTAAACAATACAATTTATTGTTCACAAAGTAATATTGTTCAGCAGTAGTAGTATTTAGCAAAATTCATTGTTTATAATTTAATCATAAAATAAAAAAAAATGACAATTCAAATTGTCAAACATTTGACATCAATATGATAAAACACACGTTATAATATATTCATGTACTACGTGTGGCCTAACTTTTAGGGGTGGTCTGAAAAATCTATTATATTTTTGCAAAATTTTGAAGTACATTTGATTCGTAGAACGGTTTTAACATTTGTTTTTAATTTAGAATTTAGTCCTCTACAAATAGTTTTTTATGACTTCTGATCTAAAATAATTAGGGAAGCAGCAATTCAACAATTTAAAATTTCCCATTGAGTTTCCTATGGCCCGTTTGACGATTCACCACCCGGTATACCTTTTATAAAGGATTTGAAATAAATTTGTTTTGATATATGGTATACAGCCAGCTACAGGAACTTAGTTTCCTAGTGGATTTTTATTCATTTTTATATCTCAACCGGTTTCAAAGCTATAAATAAATTCAGTTTATAAGAAAAATTTCAACACCCTGTATCTCCTAAATGGAGCATTTGCGGACATACATTTATACAAACTGCTAAAGTTTGTTGCACTAATTTACTGACACCCTGTATATGACACATCTTTCGGTTCACCTGCCAGGTACTTGTGCTCATCGAAAACGCTTGTCAATTTTTTAAAGTTCACAATGAATTAACAGAATCGTATAAAAATTTCATGCTTACAGCAATTTTATTTTTATCTATTTTTTTTTTCAAATTTTATCTATACTTTCAATAATATAGGGGCTGATGACGTGCAGGCGCGGGGCTGATGCGTACCAGGTGATCGTACTTAGCATGCCATGACTCATCAATATAAGAATTTCTAGCCTTACAGACATACCGTTACTCGGAGCTCTCTAGCTCGGTTCACTAGCTCTCCTACTATAAAAATTTTAGCTCATGTACAGAACATATTTTTGTCTTAACCTTGCAAATATTCATGATGACTCTTCGTCTTTTTAGTAATATCTTCAGACCCTTATTTTGTTCTGTAACTTAAGCTATGATTCTGTGTTGTAATTTCTGCCATCCTTTTTGCTTCCTTGTTTTAGTTTTGCCACAGAATACTCCTTTTGCCATGTTCTGTCATTTTTCAGTGGTTATGTTAAATATATTTCTTGAGTGTAATGAGTGCTGCCGTTCTACTAAACAAAAATTAGAAAAGAATTTTATCGCTACATACTTTGACTTTTTGTCTATTTTGAAGTTGTGTTTCGTTTTAAATAATTTATTGACTATTTTAAAAAGCTTTATCGATATTTTCTATATAATAAGACAGGTCGTGATTATAGCGATTGAAATTTGTAAAGATGGTACACTTCTTAACACTGTTGTCAAAGGTAAAGATTTATCAGAACGTTTGACGAATTTTGCCTATATTGATGTTAAGAATATATATTTATATACTGTAAATAAAATGCAAAAACTAAAATAAAAACAATAGCAATAGCAATATCGTATTCACTAATATTGTAAATATACTGATGGCAAAAAAATGCAATTTTTTGTATACGGTTTGTAAGATTGTTGACATTAATTCCGTTGATTTTAATGCCTGTATCTTCAACTAAGGATTCTTTGAAAATAAATTCGGGGTAGATATTAAAAAGTAAAGGCGATATAATACATCCTTGCCTCAGTCCACGTCGTATTTCCATTGCTTTTGTCGTGTTGTGTCCAATTCGTATGTTTGCAACGGAGTTCTCGGTCATCAATTTCCACCTGCTGCAAGACACCTATAAGTTTGTCATGGTTTACTCAGTCAAAGGTCTTTTCGAAGTCGATAAAACACACACATATATATATATACATATATATAATATATATATATATATATTATATATACCGATTGTTCGATATCACTACATCTTTGAATCGTGCCCTGCAAACTGAGGAGGGCTTCTCTGATTCCAAGGTTGTTTCTGAAACCAAATTGTGTTTCACTTAGTTGTACTTCTATTTTGTTTATAAGTAAATTCTCGAGTGCAGTAAGTATTCTTAGGAAAATTTTCATTGAGTGTCATAATCCAAGTCTTGTTTAGGTTTACTTTTGATGAGTTTCTTTAGTTTGAGTTCTATCTGGCCCACTAATGGGTTGTGGTCTGATGAGACGTCTGCTCCTGGGAAGGTCTTTGCTGAAGTCAAGCTGTTTTTGAATCTTTTGTTAATAAGAATAAAGTCTATCTGGTTTCTGATGATATTGTTGGCTGTATCTGCAAGTGGCTTGCAGAGCCGTGTTCGACGATGTCTTCTATTCTGTTTTTGCCAACTTTGGCATTGAAATCATCCATGATGATGGTAAGCTCGTTCTTCTTGGTATATTTTAGTGCTTTTTGTACAAGTACGTAGAACTCCTTGATATCCTCTTCTGGCTTTTCTGATGTTGGAGAGTAAATTTGAATGATGTTCGTATTAACGGGTCTGCTTTGCAGCTTCATCAGAATGACTCTATCAGAGAGAGGTAGCACGCTGATCAGCCACTCATTATCTTAGTTTTTTGGATGAAAATGACGTTGCAAATTTGTTTACAATGTTATCAAATAATAAGAATATTATAATGTATACTTATATAAATAAATATTTAAAAATATATTTGTTGTTCTAGGTGTTGCATTTTTTGCTACTTTTTGCATACTATTTTTACCCAGACTTGATTTAATTATTTGATTTTTATTACTGAACATTCCGAAAATTATGCTGTGAAAATATATTTGACTTTTGTCATTTAATTATTATTAGAATAACAATATGTATTACATACATCTACAGGGTGGTGAATCGTCAAACGGGCCATAGGAAACTCAATGGGAAATTCTAAATTGTTGAATTCCTGCTTCCCAAATTATTTTACACCAAAAGTCATGGGAAACTATTTGTAGAGGACTCAAATGTGTATCGAAAACAACTGTTAAAATTATTCTACGACTTAAACGTATTCCAAAATTTTGCTAAAATATAATACATTTTTCTGTGGAAAAATTTGTATTATGTGTTGCGTTTTGTCATATTATTGTTTCTGATATTTGACAATATTTAAATCAATTATATTACATTTATCTATGATTTAAATGGCCAAAATTTTGTGATTTATTGTTAAAAAAAAAATAAGTTGATTAAAAAATGTACTCAGTTGAGGAGAAAAAAGCAATAATAAAAATGTTTTATTCATGTTTTATTATAACATTTGTTATAGTTTCATGTTTAGAAATTATCATATATTATTATTAGGAATAAAGATCACAGTAACAGTATATTGGAATTCATTACATTGTTGTATAACTTAACATGGAATTAAATTTTAGTGAATTAGAATATCTTACGTTAAATAAAGATCCGGTAGTGGCAGAAAAAGGTTCGCGCTATTGCCTGTATACAACATTATGCGATTTTTCGTCAACTGAGTACATTTCATTATATTGATCGATTTGTAAACAATATAATTTATTGTTCACAAAGTAATAATGTGTAAATTAGTACTTGTGTTTGTATATCGTGAGTAGTAGTATTTAGTAAAATTCATTGTTTATAATTTAATCATAAAATAAAAAAATTGACAATTCAAATTGTCAAACATCTGACATTAATATGATAAAACACAGACGTCCTAATATATATTCTTGCATTACGTGTGGCCTAACTTTTAGGGGTGGCCTGAAAAATGTACTATATTTTTGCAAAATTTTGAAGTACATTTGATTCGTAGAACGGTTTTAACATTTGCTTTTAATTCAGATTTTAGTCCTCTACAAATAGTTTTTTATGACTTTTGATCTAAAATAATTAGGGAAGCAGCAATTCAACAATTTAAAATTTCCCATTGAGTTTCCTATGGACCGTTTGACGATTCACCACCCGGTATAATAAAACAGTTGTGAAATAATTTTTAAAATAAGTAAAATGCTGTTTGGATGAATGTTTACTACATAGGATCAATTTACACATTAAATTTATTATTAAAATATTTTCAAACATACATTGCTACAATATTTTCATGAAGTCCAACTTTTGCAACACTGTAAGGCAAAAAACTTATTTTTCAGGCTTCCAATTTATCGATAGGTGTTGGCAACTTTTGAAGTTTGTTAGTATTCAACAATAATATGAGATTACTGGATATTATAAATACTCTTAAAGTATTTTTGTGTAGTATTAAAAAAACACAGTAAGTGTATTCAGTAGTTAAATATTTTGAATATATTTTTGATGTGTAATGTTATTTTTTCTCTATTGTTTATTTTGATTATCTCGGAAAAATATAACGGTGTATCTTCTAATAATTTTCTTATTTCAAGAATCCAGAGGAAGACAACTCAAATTCAAATTCCACCACCAGTAATCGAGGAGCAAGGGACAGAGCTAAGAGAGATTTATCCAAGCAATTAATGGACTCCTCATCAGACTCTGAATTCGATGATAATGATGGTTATGGTCCGACCACGAGGAAAGCTTGGTCTGATTATTGTTCTGTGAAAGGCAAAAGCAGTCAATCTGAAGATGAAGCCCAACCAGCAAAGGTAAAAACAATACGTACATACCATTAAATATTAAAAGCGTGTTTATTTTCTAGAGAATCAAGCCATTGTAATATTTTCCTCTACTTATTACCGGTTTATTGAAACGGGGGAAACTTTCTTTTTCCACCCCTTCTTTCCCATCCATTTTTTTTTATAGATTCTGTTTGTTTTTTATTTAGTTATATTAACTTCCCGGAGCTGTATTTATATTTTATTAGCTTACTGATGGTTATATAATATAGCTGTTGACTACTAAAATGCATCTGGTGAACAATAAATTTAGATTACTTTGAAATTGTGATCATCTAAGGCAGTGGTTCTCAACCTTTTTGTGGCGACGGAACACTTTTAATTACCGAAAAAAATTGCGGAACACCAAAGCAATAACATGCATATATTGATAAACAAATTAGGATTAGCACATAAATTCTGTAATTAACTTTATTATACGTACTCACATTTGTAAAATTTTATTTAAAATATGAAAACAAAAAACATTTTTAAAATTAACAAAAGCCTAATTCTCAAAATACATCATATGAGTAAATACTTCAAATTAGTGAGACACTTGTGCCTGGTGTCGTTTGCAAATTTGCTCAATATCAGGCCTGATGTGGGAAAGAGCTACTCTCATTTCTTGTTCTAAGTTTAGCAGCCTTTCCCGTTTCTTATTTTTAATGTTTGTTAAAGATGAGAACCCAAATTCACATAAATAGGACGTTGAAAACTGTATTAAAATACTAATCGCTTTTTTGGCAAGAAGTGGATATTCCTCTTGGACCAAGATCCAAAATTTCTGAACATTCACTTCTGAAAACTTAATTTTCAGAGTACGATCAGATGACAACGAAATAAATTCTTCTTCTTGGTTCAGAGAAAACTGGAAATTGGCTGTATTACTTGTGCTAAAAGGACTTCTTATCCAGTCATATTTTTCTACGTTCTTCTTCTTCAAGTGCCCTGTCCGTTGCGAACGTTGGCTATTAACATGGCAATTTTGATCTTGTTTGCGGCGCTTCTGAATAGTTCGACCGATGTGAGCCCGAACCACTTCCGCAGATTTTGGAGCCACGAGTGTCTTCTCCTGCCTGGCCCTCGCTTACTGTCTATTTTTCCCTGGACAATCAATTGTAGCAGACGGTACTTATCGTGTCTCAATATGTGGCCTAGATATTCAAACTTTCTTTGTTTAATTGTATTCACGATTTCTTTCTCCTTTTCTTTTTCTACGTTCAGAGATGGAAAATACCTGGCAATTGTCTCCTCTAATAGTGATAAGTGTTCTGTAACTATATGCGTGATTTCTTGTTCTTTATCTTCATCACCTTCATTCTGAAGCAGTAAAAACATATCCATTTTATTTGTCTCTAAAATGCGCTTCTTCCAAAATGACAATTTGTCCGTGGATGTTAAAATATTTCCATTTTTGCCTTGCATACTTGAGTTAACGCCATTTAAATAATTAAAAATATCGGCCAAATATGCCACTTTAGTGCACCATGCATCATTTTCAAAATATGTGGTAAATGTGTCATACCTTCTTCTTGGAAAAAAGTTAACAGCTCCGTTCTAAGTTCATAAATTCGACATAATACTTTGCCCCTTGACAAATATCTAATTTCGGTGTGCAGCAACAAACATTCATACTTTGATTCCATTGAGATGCAGAGTTGTTTAAAAAGACGGGTTTTTAGTGGTCTTGATTTGATATAATTCACGACATTAACCACTTGGTCTAATACAGATTTCAAAGTAGCTGGTAGCGTTTTTGAAATTAGAGATTCTCTATGCAAGAAACAGTGCGTAGATATGATATTTTCATTTCGCTTTTTTGCAAGGGTACAAAAACCTTTTATGGAGCCTACCATGGAAGGGGCACCATCCGTACAAATTCCTACGCAATAGTCCCATGATATATTTTTTTTCTCTAAATATGACGTTATGGAATCAAATACATCCTGACCTGTTGTACGTGCTGTAAGTTCTCTGCAGCATAAACACTGATTGACTAAAAACTTTTTTTGTAAAGTTTATTTGTAACTTTTTCCTCAATATCTGCAGATAAATCAACAATCCTCCTTCTTATTGTATCATCCCACATAGGAATTTTCCGTATTTCGTTTTGCGCATCATATGTTTTGCCAAACATAATTTTGACCATCTCACAACATGCTGGTAATATAAGAGATTCTGCAACAGTGTGTGGTTTCTGTTTCAAAGCAATTAATTCGGCGACCTTATATGAAGCTATTTGTGCTTTGTCGGAAATTGTTAGCGACCTTTCAAATTGTTTCGCTTGTGTCTCCAAGAGTCGCTTGAAATAATCTTTATTTTTTGAAGCTACACTAGCGTGTTTGGTAGTAAAATGGCGTTTTAATTTAGCCGGAGCCATTGCGCTATTAGCGAGTGTCTGCCCACAAACAATACACTTGGGAATTGGACAGTCTTCTTCCCCAGTCCAAATGAAGCCATAATCCAAATATTCATTAAAATATTGCCGGTTCAACATTTTTTTGCTGCGCTTCGATTTGTCATCAACCCCACTTCGTAAAGTTCCAGTATCTCCGCTGGTGCTCGCTTCATCATCATTAATTATGAGTTGTTCCACAGTAGTTTTTCTTTTAAGTTTGAGGAACTTATCCATTTTAATTTATTCGTCTCTAAACAAACTAATGCGGATGAATGCTTCACATTTTGTATAAAATATGCAATTACTTACCTTTGATAGATAAGCCGTACGTAAACGTTATCATAAAAAAACTGACACAGCGATTTTCACGTATTACGTTTGTGCAATGTAACAAATTCAACAGTTGCAGACTGTGGCGTGGGTGACTCAGATTGGCTGTGGCCACTGCGGAGCTCAGCGCTCAGCGCTTATAAAATCCAACGTGTGCACTGTGCCGACGCGGTGTTGTCACGTTGGGCAAATGAACATTTACGCTGCAGAATTTTAATAAATTAAAATGTACGTAAGTGGCTATTTTAAAATTTTAAAATATTTATTTGAAAAGAGTAATTTAGCAAAATGGTATGTAGGATTGCGAGTATTTCGAGGAACACTAGTGTTCCGCGGAACACCGGTTGAGAACCACTGATCTAAGGTTATGCAATTCTATCTATAATATGAGTTTTGTGTAATGTATCGTCACTTTATATAAGCCTTCTGTAGAGCTTGCATTTTGCAAATTTTGGTCAAATTCAAAGTATTTCAGTTTTTTTATCTTTAGCCCTATTTTGATGATTTTTTAGCACACTGTGTAAAAATTTATAAATTTTAATTTAGTATAGTGAATTTTTTAAATAAAATTTTGTATTTGACTTATTATACGGGGTTAATCAAAAGGTGGTTTTTTATCCTAACTTTGAAACATCCTGTGGAATGGTTTTCGGTTGCAACCATGTCTTCTAAGTGTTATGTTTTTTGTTTCATGTGAAAATATGGATTGGTTTATTTTTAGGAGCGAAATGCCACCCACAATTTACGACTTTTCCTATTATTATCATTATCTTTTGCAATTTGTAATACGACAATGGGGGCTTTGGTGACTGCTTTTGAAGAAAAGTCATGTCAACATCCCAGAAGCACTGTATTAATTGAAAGCAACGACATAGGTTTTAATGAACAATGATAACAATTACAAAACATAAAAAAACTTAAATGCAACTTAACCTCTTCTTCTTCTTTATTTTATATAGACATGACTCTGTCTGTTTTTCAATGTGCCTCCAGTAAGTTGTCATTCCATCTTTTTCGTGGTCTTCCTATTGGAGAACCGTCTCTTGCCGTCGTTACTACTCGATTTGTTGTCATTCGGCTTATATGATCGTTCTCTACTCTTCTATTTCTTACCCAGTTTTTGATGTTCTCCACCTTCATATTCTTTAGCTCTACTCATTAGTTCTCGAAGCGTATGGATTTGATCCATGGTACTGAATCCACTTCTAAAGCCAGCTAGCTCTCTCGGCTGTGCAGCATCTAATGCATCTTATGTTAATGATCTTTGTGAATATCTTATATATGAATGCTAGTAGACTTATAGGTCTGTAGTTTTTGATATCCTCTTAGCTACCTTTCTTATGAATGAGAATTATATTTGCTGTATTCCAGTGGTCTGGTATTCATCTTGATCTAAGACAGTTCGTAAATATGCCTGCTAAGATTTTCCAGGTTTTTTGCCAGCGTATTTAAGCAGTTCCGCTGTTATGCCATCTATTCCAGCTGCTTTACCGCTTTTCATTTTTGTAATTGTCGATTCTACTTCTCGACTTAGGAAGAACTTATGGTACATCTTCTGGTTACTGAGTGCTTCTTCAAGTATTCCAGGTGCTTTTATAGTTCGCTGTAGTATTTAGTCACGAGTTGGATAATTTCATTTCTGTTAATTTTCATTGTACTTTCTAATGTCTTCCTTAATACTTTATATCATTAGAATACTGTTATATTCTAATGATTTCTCTTGCACTTGCCTCATTATAAATATAGCGTCAGTGCATGATATTCCCGACCTAAAACCTTGTTGTTCTTCTGCTAGTGTTTAATAATTTCATTCAATTTATTTGTTATCCCTTTAGTTGTTAATTTTAGTGTTGTGTTTAACTTAACCTAAGTACGCAAATAACAAAGAAAAAGTACTAAAAAATAACTACTTTGTATTGCTTCCCCTAGCCTTTATAACTGCCTGTACACGTCGGCTTATGCTGTCTATGAGGTTGCGAATATCATCTTGCTGGATGTTTTGCCATTCATCTGCTAGAGCCAAGCGAAGTTCATTAATTGATGCTGGTGCGACTTAGTGATCTCTAATATTTCTACCAAGCATGTCCCAAACTCTATTGGGTTCAGATCTGGCGAACACGCTGGCCAGTTCATTTTATTAATACTAACTTCCTCTAAATATTGCGTGACACACATTGCGGAGTGGGGTCGCGCATTATCTTCCAGTAATAGAAAATCATCGCCGATATATTGAGAAAAGGGTACTACGTGATTCGATAAA